AATTTCTAGAAGCCTGATGAGTGGCAGATGAGTTGACGATCAAGAAATAAATTACCATAGACCGAGTTTGTTATATAGACTTAATTTCTCTAGAGTACTGAATTTATCTTTACAGTATAGTTTGTATTTCCTCCCTCCACTTATGACATTTAAAGCCTATTGGCTGTCGACTGTTTGTGTCTCCCAAAGCGATTTAAAGCATATATATATATGTACATACATATACGCGACTGGTGTTAACCCTTTTCTCAGTTGATCTGAGACGGTAGAAGCTCTCTAGGCCGATGGTCTGTTTTCTTGTGTCGCGCGTTCCATGGTATCGATACTATGGTATCGTTTTTGTCGTTGTTGCTAATGGTGATTAGAAGAGTAGACTCACAAATCTAATAGGCTGGAAGTTTGTTAGCACAAACTATCAAGTTTTTTAACGGTCATATCAAAATTTATCAGCTAATGGAAGATAAATTACATAGCAAAAAAACTCAAATCTTAAGTCAACAAAAGTGATCAATAGAGATGTGAATTAACAACAATAGTTGCGACAGTGGTTGTCGGGAGATACAATCATATCAACATTCTTGGAGAATTCAAATATGCTCATGGCATACCGAAACTTTCGCTCAGATATTTTCCAGTCGGTGGACAGTGAAGGATTCACAATTAAATCAACCATCTTAGGGAACACTGCATTGGTGGCACAGCGGTAGAATGCTCGCTAATCATGCATGTAGTCCGGGGTTCGATCTCCAGCCGACATACGCCTAAGCCTCTCTAAGCTGGCAGTAAGGCTAGTAAAGAAAGAATGTTGAGCATGAGGTGGCTAGCAACCCCATCCCGTAAAAACAAATACAACTGGTACTGAAACCTCAGGCCTCTAGCTTGTAGCCCTATGTTCCACTGGGAATATACAGGAATATAAAATAAAAATAAATAGAATCTCAGAGAACACAACCAAATCAGTATTATTCACATGGCCTACAAATCTTCTCTATTATGCTTACAATTATATGTTGAACACTTTTCGTTACTTGAGTGACATTTCTAGGCTGAAAATGAATTTTATGCTAACATATATGATGCAATCCATTTTTAATTTGTAGTGAGACGTGATGATTCAATATAGGAAGTTTCACTAACGAGGATGTCTTGATTACTGTAAAACTTATCTAGTCACCAATTAAGAGTTTATAAGAACAATTTATCCTCCGGCTTTATCCTTACTAATTCCTTGACAGAATTATTTATATGGAAACGTTGAAATTGCATCTATATTGGAAGATATCGATGTATAGTTTTAATGATCCCCTTCATGAGTCTAGATTTTTAATATCATTACAAAACTATATATACATATATATATGCTGTTTGTCAAAGACTGTACATGTAAATAATGAACTAAAACTGAAGTTTCTCGGACACATATCGGTTACATCTTATTGGTATATGACGTGCACACCATCGTGTTCAAGTGATTCCTCGGTCATCCACTGGTAGAACGCTCACCGACCACTGAAACGGATCAGGTTCGACTTCCAGCCGATGCACTGCTAAACCTCACTTTGCTAGCAGTAAACTCGCTAAATGAAGGGAATTGGGCTACTAGGTTAGCAGTTCCGCCCCTTAAGAGAACACTATTGCTTTTAAAACCTGAAAACCAAAGTTTGAAGTCCTCCGCTTCATTGGGAAAGCGATGGAATTAAAAAAATATAATGTTGAAAATAATATTGTTCTAAATGATAACCTTCCAGTTAGGAAAACTGTTGAATCGATCGTTATCCTATCATTTAAAACTTTCCATTTTTCTACGATTCAGTCAGAATTATCTGAAATTAATGAGTTTATGCCATGGTATTGAGTTTCAAACGCAATACTGTGCCAATGCTTAAAATAGGTTAAACATATACAGTCTAAGTAAAGCAATACTAATTGTGTTATAATTCATTTTATGTACCAGTTTACTCACAGCTTTAAGTGTGAGAACACAGGAAGGTAAAATTATGTTCTGCAAGTGAGATAATGACGCATTCATCTAAGTAATTACGAAGACAATGGATATTTTGGAGGAGAATCATTTCTGCCTATGCACATACCTCGCCTAGCTTACTTGTTTACTAGTTTTCTAGCCGGTCTTAAGCCCGGTAAAGAGGAAGCGTTGGGTGTGCGGCTAGCGAATCAAACCCAGAAAACCAATCAGACTGTTACAGAAACTTCAATGCATTATAAAAATATTAAAAATACGAAAAATATACAAAACAAACTTATTCGTCGATGAAATCGGAGGGGCGTAATGATGTGGCCTGGAGAAAGCCGGCTTTCAGGAAGCTACTCAGGCAATGTTCCTTCTCTCAATGAAGTCGAGAATAAGAATAGGTGTGTGGAATGTTCGTGCAGTGTAAGAAGCTGGAGAACTGCCTAGGTAGCCAAAGAAATGAAAAATATTTTATAGAAGTGCTAGGAATCTACGAGAGCAGATGGATTGGATGTGGACTATCGAAATCGTCAACTGGTGAGTCAGTAATCTACTCCTGTCTCCGCGACGGCAACAATGAACACAATGAGGCAGTGAGTGGCTTTCAAGATATCACCAAAAGCAGCCAAAGCTCTTATGGTTTGGGAACTATGGGTGGGGATTATCCATGAATTGGAACCAATCTCCTCCAGGACTACGGCGGTAGTGTTGAACTCAGAAAGAAAAGAGAGGTACAATTATTTAGTTCCACGTACTTACAAGCAACTCGGAACAAGATAAGGAAGAAGACTTCTAGAGACAGACACAAACAGTAATGGACAACACCTCGAATTCCGACATCAGACACCTTATGGGTGTTATGAATACCAGGCAAAATGGAAGCAGACAACACGGGAAGAGAATTCAACACGTGGGGAGATGCTTTCGGATAAATTATTCCCACTGTAGGATTTTCCGTAGACTCCTGCTCACTCGGTAACTCGGTAGCTAGATCGACTGCAGAAACATCACAATTCAGGTTTACTACTCAGAAACTGAAATGAAAAACTAAAAAGAAGACATTGTGTAAGATTAATGAGGAGACTCGCATGGCAGAACATTGGAACTGCCTTAAAGTAATGTGGAAGGAAACCTGTATAGCTATCTCAGGAAGAAAGGAGAAGTAGGACAAGAGACGGATTTCCTCGGATACATGGAAGCTAAAAGATGAGAGACAGATGGCGAAACAGACGATGAACCAATGCTAAAATGGAAAACAGAGGAAGGAGCTGAGTTCAGTGTAACACTGACTGAATAATTAAGTGAAGAAGACTTCTGGGAAAGGAAAAAGACAATTCTACGAAACACCGCCTGGCAAATGAAGCAGAACAGGCAGTTCTCAGGTTAAAACACAATGTGAGATAAACAGATCTCTATCATGGAAACCATCAACGGTGATGGAGCCAGTAAACGATGTCTGACGGAGCATAATTGGCAAAGAGGAGAAGAAAAGAGAATAATGGGAAGAAAAGTGCTAACCGACTAGAAGAAAGACTACCTTGTCAAACTGTCGAAGAGGGGTTATTTAGGCCTCTGGAAAAGCCGGCGCGGAATCATGCTTCTTTCAGCACCAAGTAAAATACTGAGTGGTGTCATCCTGGAGAGGCTAAATGATGCAATGAATGCGGAACTCTTCTCGCCGGACCCAGCTGGATTGAGGAAAGCAAATCATATGTGGACCAAATTGGAACTCTACCCATCATCATCGAACAAGTCAAATCTCCACCTCAATTTCATCGACTATGAAAAGGCCTTCGACAGCGTTGACCACGAAGTAATTTGAAAACTACTTCAAAATTATGGAGTGCAGTGCTCCAAACCTTTACCACCTCCTATTCAACGGTTATATGGGACTGGCGTATGTCAGGGGATCCACAACGGAAAACTCACCGAAGCTTCTGAAGTGGATAGAAGAGCAGGACAAGGATCCCTACTAGTGATGATGATATTTCTGATTGCGGTGAACTGGATAGTGCGGAAAAGTGCGTGCGGGAAGCAAGAAGACAGGCCTACCATGGAAGACAAGAAACTCCAGTAGGTCCAGACTTCATGGGCGATTCATTAATAGTGTTACAGAAAATCAATGAGATACAGACGAAAAACGGCAGCTTGGTACGTAAGCAGCAAAGACAGAAATTCAAACAGACGAACTGCAGACAAAGATGATAAAGATGTCTAACTAACAACCACAAACATCAGTCACCATCAACGGAAGAAATTTAAAACAAGTTGCTTCCTTCCCTTATTTAGACGAAAGGCAAGACAGACCATCATTAATCTGCGACCACTGTGAATATCTGCTGCATTTAGCATAAGGAAGAAAAGATTCGAATTTTCAACTTCATTGTGAATTCTGTCAGTTATTCAACATGGATCAGGAACTTGTTGACTACGTTACAAAAGCATTACCAACAGTCAGCTGCAGACTTCTATCAGTAGCTACCTTCTCTGTCACACTACTGAAGATCAAATGCCTAACCCGAAAGAATCAGCAACAACAGATAATTCTGGGGCAAACCAGCGGAGAACCTATTGTCGAAGCAATAAGCCAAAGAAAAAAAAATGGGGATAGATCTGACACACACTCTAACATCTCATACTATAAAATAATGTCGAATTCTCGCGTCCAAATAAGAAACGACATGTTTGGGTGTCGTTTCGAGGATGACATAAAGGAGATAGTGTGTGTTGAGGAGAAGATTACATCTTATGTGATGAATCCTTAAACTAGCTGAAGAAGACAGCAGAACAACATGGAGGTGTGCTGTTGACATCCTGAGTTCCACTTGGAGCCCAAGTTAATGCTTAAAAGTAACATTAGTTATTCATGAATATACCTATGCATAAAAAGGAATTGAAACCATTGAATATCGCGGTCAAATTAAATCAAATCAACACTATTAACCTTTAACTAGATTATAATATATATATAAAATGAAAAAAAATACTTGAAAACGAAAATAAACAAACTAGAGTATTACGTTTACTCATTATTATAGTAGATATTCACTTTTTTTTGATGACTTAACAAAGTAATTGTTTATTTTTATTCTCATATGTAAATAAATAGCAATAATAGTAATAATAATAATAATGATAATAATTACATTTCATTTTAAAATAATCAATCGTTCTTCAACATTATCTTGATCATTGTTTATTGCTGATGATTCCAAGGATACTTGTTGATGCTGCTGTGGTTGTGGTGGTTGTCCTTGGCGTTGATTATTATTACTACTGGCGATTGGTAATAAATTATACTTGATAGTTTGAATATGTGGTAGTAAATTGTTTGAATGGTCTAATTCTTCATTAAATTCACATGCAACACCATAATAACCAGTTGGACAGAGACAATAACATTTTTTCCATGGCATATCAGGTTTAGCAAGTTGACCTGAATTAAAACAATATGGTGCACATTGTCTTATTAAATAATGTATCATTTTAAAAGATTTTTTATATCTATTTGTATGTGTCAATAGTTCACTAGTTGATAAACATTGGACATTGAATAATAATAATAAGATAAATAGATTTATGAATAGAAATGATATAAGCAGTTGATGAGTTTTAGTCATTATTATAATTTTTTATTGTTAGTAGAAGTGAATACACTTGTGATTAGGTGGTAAAGGATGATAAAGAACAGGGTGATATGCTAACAAGTTTTATATACACGATCTATTTATATATCCATATGAATTCGTTTGCTTTTTTCAACGAAGGGAAATGTATTCGTAGAAATTCTATTGGTTTAATCATTTATATGGGAATGATATATAAAGGGGAAGGGGATACAACTATTAATATTATTATTATTATTATCATCATTATTTTTGACATATGAAAATACTAGTTGAAGAATTATTACATTTGTGTGTATGAACTCAAATAGTTGAGTTGAATAAATGTGTAGGCTGTTTTATTGGCTATTACTCACTTTTGTGAATTATAAGTCAATCCACTTGGAAGACAGATAGATCTCTTAGAAGAGTGAATACACTTCAGTTGAATTGAATTACGCCTTTTCCTTCGTACTTCTTGCCGAAATAAATAATAATAATAATAACAACTGTATTCAATATGATAACTCTGGTATCAGTTAAACTCATATTTGTTGAGTATATTTCATTATCCTTGTTAATACTATTATTATGATGATGATTCTGTATAGGTTTATCGAATATTTGTTTGTTTTGTTTCTTTTTTCCACTGGGTAAATCATCATGAACTGTAGTCATCTATTATTGTTTACTAAAGTTTGGTTTGTAAAGGTTAGTTTTGTTTTTATGAGTTGATCATGAATTGATATCAGTTAGAGAACCACGAAAAACCAGTAGTGGAGTACTGGACAGCTGCCGTTTCATCCTAGTTTGAGGAACATTATCGACAGTCCTCACCCATTGGAATTTTAACACAGAACCTTCCGGTTACATGGCAAGGCAAGCTTGTTTACCATTCAGCCACTACGACCTAATTCAGTGGCTAGCTCATGAATTCTAACTTCTACCAATTCGTGATTTAGCGCAACCCCAACCATTGTCGTTGGTGGGACATCTATCCACACACGTGATATCTAATTGGATCTCACTGGTCACGACTTCTCATTAGAAATCCAGGAAACTCCATACTGTAGCAAGTCTCTACCGAGCATCAGATTAATTTTCTGTAGTTTGGTTTGAAAGGGTTAGTTTTGTATTTACGAGTTGATCATGGATTGGTATCAGTTAGAGAGCCATTGAAAACCATGAAGTACTGCAAAGCTGTTTCATCTTAGTTTGGAAATCATCCCCAGTACGCACTCACTGCCAAGGGTCGAACCCAGGACCTCTCTGTTACAAGGCAAGCTCGTATATATTATTGATTATCTGTGAAATGACTAACAAGATATAGGATGGAAAATAAATCAGTAGTGTAAACATATTTTAGAGCGAATTGAACACTATTCAGTCACTAAATGAGTATATGCACTGTGAGTCGGTGGCACAGTGGTTAGGACTCTCGTCGACCATGCACAGGGTCCGAGGTTCGATCCTCTGCCGACACACACCTGATATCTATGATCGGCCCGCTAAATGTGGGCTACAGATATCATATGCTGGAAATTGCATACTTGTACCAAAAATACGGTATGGAATCAAGCTGTAAATTATTATTTTACTACATTATCATAAGAATTATCAAACGGAATCTTAGAAACATTTTTAAAGTTGTATATATTTGTAAAATCTCAGCGAAACTGAAATGATTAATTCCAACATTTTGTTCGGCAATCTAGTTCGAACTTCGTCAGGGAAATTCATCGAAATTAGCATAACAGAAGTTTATAACAAAAAGGAAATCTCTTGCTTTAAAAAATTGTTTTATCCAATCATATGAGTCATGAAACAGGTGTCAACATGTACAATAAACAGACTTGAGCGAACTGTGATCAAAATTTGACCTCAGACTAACAAATATTAGTCTGCTTTTGTTAAACACTTTAAACAGAGTGTACTTTCCTATTTAACTGAATTTTAGATTTTCCAATCGATTGATTGGACCGAAGTACTTGGTCTCAGGTGTACTCTTCATCGGATTACACTAAGCTGCAAGTTCATGGTCGTAGATAACTGAATATAAAAATATATGTGTTTTTGCAGTCTACAATGGTGTGTACATATGTGTGTGTGGGCAAACAGTCATAAAACATTTGTTAGCCACTCCATAAGAAGACATAGACAATCGTGAATTTTGACCAAGTCTGATTAATTAGTGATACATATCCACTTTTTTCAAATTTATTAATCAGGATTCGCTATGCATCAGCTACATCACGCCTTCACGTCTGTTCAAACTGTTGGGATTCACGTATGTATATATAGGGCTTCCGCAGTCAATCTTTCTTTGTACGAACCAAAACCTTTTTGTGTAGAACCTTAGTCACATCAAAGCCGATTTTGTGTCCCATTTCTATCGAATGCAGTGCAATCGCTGATCTGTTCTTTAGCTACTTTAAGTCTGTAGAAGTCTTTGGAACCACCTCTAGACATCGTTTATGCTCTTTCACTTTTTACTCCTCTGGAAGCTTCCCTTACATATACGGAGTCACAGTTCCCACAGTTGATCTGGTACACACAATTCTGCTGGTTTTCTTGTTCTATTTTATCCTTAACCTTCACCAGTAATGACCGTAAGGTGTTGCACGAAAATACACTCTTATGTCATGACTGTTAGGGATTCCCTTTATTCCATTAGATGTTTATTTACGGTAAGTAATCACTGCTGTACTAGCCTAATTCCTAGCATCAGGTTTCGATCTATCTTATGTTCACATTTTAAATATCTTTCTATGAAGTCTTTACGATAATTATTTGATTCAAGAGTGGACTGAACCTTTTTGATCTCTTCTACCTCAGTAACCAGACGTTTAGCTCTGTGAATCAGATTCTTGGCCGCAGTTACTTTGGTGGTAAAGGCCGTGCTAAATACTAGTCCAGGTATCTGTCCGAATTTCCGGTTTTCTGAAAATATTTATTTTAAATTTACCATCTAATTTTGCTTTTACCAAAGAGGTAAGAATTGATTTGGTCAAATCTTGATCATAGTTCATGTGTTTTTCTTTGAAACGTTAATAAATTCCGAAATTATGACGCAAATTTCCAATTCAAATGAGTGTTTTATAATGTTATTATATTTAACTGATACGGGTGGTGTCATTACTATTATTATTATTAATCCCTAAGGATCCTAGTAGAACAAAAGACTTCATTACCATGTCTCTATTTTATTCTGTTCTCTGGAGTCTCCTTCAGCTGACCCCGCGATTACTTATAAGCTCTAATCTCTTCAATGTTACCCTCAGATCAATTTCCAACTCGTCGATTCAATCGAGAGAGAGATGGCCTGGCGTGCGATGTCATCCAACGTGTGTCATCAGCGTGTGTCCGATCCATCTTCAGCTCCCTTTATATATTTATTGAAAAACAGATTCATTTCAAGAGTTCCTTGTTGATAATTCTGTATAGCTGGCCAGCTAAGGTAATTGTTGGTGGAAGTTTGCAGTAGCCTATTGTAAATGCTTTTATCGGGAAGTGAGTAACAAGTTTCTGGTCCATAAAGAAGAACTCATTAACTCAATATTCGTGTTAAAAAATTGAATTTTGTTACCTTTTGCTGCATGCGGTAGGTTTTCAAACTAATTTCAGATTGATGAAAATCTCCCTTGCCTTTCGGTTTCCGGTTTCAACATCCGTAAGAAAAGACACAGTGTTTTGTTCAGCGATGATATATTTCTTTTCAATTAGATCTTCATCTCTGGTTCTACTCTTATATATATATATATATATATATATATATATATATATAGCATTTTTATTACAATACACAACAGTTTACTAATCAAGTGGCGATATGTTTGTTAACAGTAATTAGTCAGTGTCAAAATGTCAATAGGGTGATAATTAACGCAGAAAATCAGTACACATAATTAAAAGGTAGAAATGGTTAGAATACATTAATTTTACAAGGATAACGCGTAAATAAAGATGAAGAAGTCAGAATAAATAAAAAAAATGAAATAATTTAAACAATTATAACTTTTATAATTTTAAAGGTTTAGGGGGTGGAGAGTGAAGTAGTCCGGTTTATACATTCATGTAAAGATGGCCAAGGCAAGGAAAGTGGCTGTACAAATTTCTTCTGAACACACACGTTTGGCTGGCTTCTTCAGGTGGATTCCTATTGCTTCAGCTGTCTGTAGAAGACGAACTCGTAGAGCAAAATTAAGATTAGTAGGAATGCGATAGATAATTTTAAATGCTGTATTAGCATTAGCGAATTTAGGTAGTTTATCCTTATTTCTCGAACGTAGAATAGGGGTGGTTGTGAAGAGACAACGTACCTCTGCTGCATAATAAGCTCTTTTAACTGTATTCTTCAGGCGCTGTTATTATTTCGCTGATGTTGTAACCGAGGAACTGCAGTTTTATGAACATTGGTTTTTTCGGAACTGTTGGCATCCTGATTTTTCTAGGTGCTCAATTCATATTTTCTCAATGAATTTATCTGGATAACCATTTTTCCTAAGTAATTCTCTAACAATCTTAAGTTCTTCATTGAGGCAGTCGTCTGAACAAATTAACCTTGCTCTATGAACCGGACACTTTACCAGGTTACGTTTATATTTCAAAGGTACAAAACTCAAAAAATGAGTCTACTGACCTGTTGTTGTAGGTTTCCTATACACACTCCTTCTTAGTGTGTCATCTTCTTTCCTTGCCATGATTACGTCTAGGAATGAGATACTGTGATTAATTTCTTCTCTATGGTAATGCTATATATATTAGAGTAGAGCCAGAGACGAGAATCTAATTGAAAAGTAAGTATTTCTTCTTTTGATAGCATTATTAGAAGACGGAGATTATCTGAAAATGTGATGTATTGGCGCTATACATTTCGAACAATCTGATCACACATTTACTTGTCAAGTCAATATATATAGAAAGGTTAAATTAAACAAAGTGAGAGAAAACGGAATTAAGAATAATTAACACAAACGTTTGGTAATCCAATCAAATAAGGATTACCAAGGTAGGTTAAGAGTAATGACAAACTGTTTTTGAATACACAAGGGGGGCTTAAGTCTGTGAATAGCTATAGCTTCAGCGTATTTCAGTAAACGCCCTTGACCG